GAGAACGCTACAGTCGAGCAAGCCCGACAGTGAAATACCCTGTACCCAGGTAAACTTCCGACACTGAGTTATATGCGCCCAAAGCAGCAGCAAAAAGAGGAAGAAGAAGAGCGAACTTGTTGCTGCAGTTTGTGGGGGTTGTACAGGCGAGAATTTGTTTTGCTAATAACTTTTCTTAGAATCGACCGAATTGAAAAAAATTTAGAACAACAGTAGACAATTATATATAAATTATGTGTGAAAAGTTTGGTTTAGGTAGCATTTGAAATGTGGACGCTATTGACGAAATTCTGTAGCGGGGGAAGGGGGGGAAAATTAAAAAAAAAAATAAACTCGTCCTTTCTCGGACCTAGGAGAATCTGGATGCCAACTTTGGTTATTCTAGCTTTTATAGTTTCTGAGATCCTCGCGTTCATCCAGACGGACGGACAGACGGACGGACGGATATGTCTAGATCGATTTCTCTCGTCATGCTGATTCAGAATACAAGTATATATACTTTATGGGGTCGGAGATGCTTCCTTCTGCATGTTACATACTTTGCACAAACATAATATACCCTTTTTACCCTACGGGTACAGGGTATAATAAAAATCATTCACTTATAGTAGTAATTTAGTAAATTTCCCTCATTATTTCCCGCTTTAGTCACTTAGTAAGTGTCACTACAGGATGCTACTTTTAAGATGGTCTTATGTCACTCATTCCTGAGTCTTCCGTTTCGTGGGATTTACTTGTAAGTTGCCACAACTGAGCTGCCAAAAGCAGCTAATCCCGGCTCAGAAGCTGACACCCGCTTACCCACACCTCACTGCACTCAGTCACTGCCATCGAACAGGCTCACAATTCCAGCTAAATATGCAGGATCGATAAGATGTTGTGGCCCGGCTTTTTGGAAAATATATATATATATACACACACACACACATACCTACAAATAAAATAAAAAGATCTCTCTTGAAACTGTGCTCACATTTGACATTTGAAGTGCGCATATTTTTCTCAACTCTACGCCGTTCCTGGCCACCAAATTGGTATTAAATTACTCACTTTGGTGATAATCGAAATGGACACGACACGATTACACCAACAGCAACAACAACAGCAGTAACAGCAGTAACCGCAACGAAGTCGGCAAGGCGGGGACTTAAAGCCGTCTGTTCTGTGAACCAGTTCTTCGACCGCCGATTGTCTGTAAATGAGCCGCTTGCATCCAATGGCCAAGATCGGGCCGCGCACCATAAAGAAAGTAAAAATATTAAGACGCGGACAAGTTGAAAATGCCACCACATCACATTTTGAGCGTTTTCAAAACGATCAATTTTGTAGATAAGCGAACAAGACACAGCCGTGCGCAGAGTTAACGCCGAGCTGAGAGATCGGCCCGATCGTTTTGGCCAACAGGTAACAGCAACAGCAGCAGCAGCGACAGCAACAACAACTATATTAAGTAACTAAAGTCAGAGAGCCTGTGGCGTTGGCCAACATCGAGGTGTTGTGGCTACCAGGTGCGGTTGTCGCTATACTGCACATTAAGATAAAAAGTTGGCAATGCACGCACAATCACAACATATGTCTTATTGAGCAACTAACTGGCTAATCATTTGACCAAACAGCAGCGGCAGCAGCTAAGCGTTAAAGACGACACTTGGCATTTGATGAACAAGTGTTATTATTTTCTAAATGCCGTGATAAGCTGCCCGTGTGGTCGCGGGCAGGGAGAAATGAGATGATCGGGGGAAAATAGGGTCAGATTTGCGCTCAATGTTTGTGACAACCAAAAACAATTCAACTGTCAAATGAAAATGCCCAACAAACGGAAATCCTATTTGCATTTCAAAAGCATTTCATTGGACCAAATCAAACAAACACACAAATACACATGGAGAAAAAGTGTAGAGAAATTTAAAATTGGGACATTTTATGAGAAGTATGTCGCATATAAAGTTACAAAATTTTAGCACTGTAACTAGTGGAAGGCAAGAAGTTAACGTTCAGACATGCAAATAATTTGCACACAAACTGGCCTAAATTTACGAGCAGGGTAAGCGTTATGTTAGCCACAAATTTTAAATAGAGAATGGAAATGGTGGAAATAATTATTCTGTATTTATTTATTTGAGCAAATAATTTGCACATAAACACTAAACTAAACACTAAGCTTAGTGACAGCCACGGCCCTTAAGGCACTGCACGACTATCGAGCAACCATTTTATTGTATTTAATGGAATTAAAAAGAGGTTCTTTACATGCTTTTCAAGTTCGAGAAATTCATAACAAATTTAATTGACTGTTTGACCAATGCCTAATTCAATTTTGTCCTTTAAGATATTTAGAAACCACTAAATTGAATTCACAGTAGATCTAGATTAACATCATAATTGTTTCAGCACTTAATCTCTGATCAATACATAATATAAATATACTTATGCTATATACTAAGTATATAACAAACACAATTATATCAAAATTCCGTAGATAATGCATTCGTAAAAGCGAGTTTTTTAAACACACTATAATTGTATTTGAATTTTCCTGTTGGAGCGACACTCTCTATCTCTCTCTGTATCTCTCAATTTTTTGAATTTGAATATTTTAAAAATTGAATATTTTAAAAAACAATCACTTCTCTCCCATAAAATGTGTTCTTCTAAACACAGGTAAAATAACCACAATTAATTGCTTTAAAAATGATGATGATAATATAATTTCCAGAATACACAACTCTAGAGTTCTTCAAGGTTAATATTAAATGATTCATTGTAGCTAGCTGCTGCATTTTCACAATTTAAATCATCGTACAATTTTGTTCCCAGTGTACATGCACATGCATGTAAAAAGTTAAGCGCTCGCCCATTCGTCGCACAGTCAGACAAACTATTAAAAACAAATATTTGTGCGGCTAACAGAAACAAAAAAAAGTGGCGAGAAACAGGATCGGGCGCACACAAAGTGAACATATGCAAGGACACCCCTTTTGGGTGCTGCTGCTGCTGCTGCCTAATCCTGCCCGCACGAATCCGCCTGCCGAACTGGACTATCCCTGGCAGCGTTTCCGCCTTGACAATTTGTACAATTGTCGCTCAATTTATGCGAACAGTAGAACGCTAGACGATGGAGGGGAGGGCGCGGGTTGTCGCTGCCAGCGCCGCTGCAAACGAACAACTTCCGATTACAACTTCATTTGTAAATGCTTCCTTCGCATAAATACAAAAATACACACCATACACATACTCCATCATACATATATATTTGTATGTATTTATATCTATATAAATGTATATATATATATATGTATGTATGTATGTGTGCCACACAAGGACAATGGAACATAGCCATTCCATAAGCTACACGTGCCCCAGCAATACGCAGACGTTTTGTTTGTTGACGCTTTGTGTGAACAAGGGCGGGGGTGCGGGCGAGGATGCAGGATCAGCCCACATCTGTCAACTTCAATGAAGTGTCGAATGGAAGTTCATCATAAAGCAGTCAGCCAGCGAAATAGTTACCGTCATGCTTTCCTTTTTGCCTCTCTCCACTTTTTATTTTTATTTGTTTCTGTAACTGTTTTTATTGCTTCGACTCCTGCTCCTACTCCTGCTCCTGTTTCTGTTCCTCTGTCTGGCCATGGGAGTACGCTTCGGGCTAGCGCTTTGGATTGTTGGCATTTTACGTAAATTAAGCCTCTGGTGTATTTGGCGCAGCTTGCCAGCCTCCCCTCAACGTCCATTCAATGTTACGTGCGCCCTTTGAAGGCTGCTAATCACTTTAACATACATTTGCATTGCATTTACACGCATTTTGACCCTCATTATTCTGTCTGCCTGTCTGTCTGTCTGTCCCTGTAGCTGTCGAGTGGTGGGGGGGTTGCGGGAAAGAAGGGGCCTCAAGGGGCCAACTCTACTCCGACTACCTAAAATGCTTAACCCATTCGCATATAATCATGTAAATAGCATTAATTATCCCTTATAGGAAGCAGTGGATAATAATCCCAATACGTACATATAGTAATAATCTCATATAGTAATGATCTGAATCGTAGTCAAATCGATTCGATTTGGTTTCAATGTCACAGAATTGGAATGAATGGGTGAATTGGATTTGTCGGTTTCTAAAGTTTTTCCTCTTAGTCGATCAAATGATATATATTTTCAAGAACGTTTCTTATAGATGATAAGAACGAGAAGTATTCTATATTTTCCGCAAAAATACCCAGAGAAAACAAAATGCTCAATTAATATTTAATATACTTAATTCTGGCAAAAAAAAAAATTTTAATAGCGGAGGGATTGAAGAATTTGATTCCCACATTTTAAGGGAATTAATCACTTTTTTGGTGCTTCTTCACAGAATCGAGGTCCGTATACTTGTATATGTATTTCGGACTTCACCAAAATCAGACGGAATTATGCGTCCTTTCGTCATTCGATTGCGCTTGCGCTTGCGATTGCGATTGATCACATCGTACAGGTCCAAGGTTGGGTGTCAAACCTACTGTCTTCATGATGCGCACGACCAATTTTAGAAATCAGAGTTGGCGGGTATCTTCATCTGCTCTTGAACATCCTTATAGCTTGGTGTTAGCCATGATGGTACTGCGTTTTTTTTTAAGAATGAACTATTTTCAAAATACTCCTGCCATCTCGATTGTTTTTACACTTCAGTTATTTACCAGCTACTTGTAAGCTTGATTTATGTGTGACTTATGCTTAAGTCTGTTATCTTGAGAATATGAGCAAAAATTGGAATACAAAAGAAACTGCAATTTTCGGTCATTGTAAAATACTCCCCCAATATTTTATTTTTCCCTCTATCACCTCAATTTTGTCTTCAATTTCAGAAACCTTGTTATTATATTGTTCAAATATTTTAACATAAACCTTTCAATTAAGCTTTATATTTCCAAAGAGCAATATCTAAGCTAGGGAGAAATCTGCACTCATTAAAAAAAAGCATAAAAGAATTTACAAAATATTTAACAACTTCAATCACACAAACATTTGTGAATAAAACGTTTTGTTTAATAAAGGAAAATAGTTTTGACTAAATTTAGATTACATTTAGGAGTATTTTACATCGCGCGGGCTTTTTAATCTACTTTTCGCTAATCCTCCTGTGTTTTGGAGCAGGCAGCTTCGCCTTTCGGCGAAATATCGATTGCCACGAGCTGTTTAGATAGCTCTTCAGCCAATTGTGGGGTCGCGGCGACCAGGACACGACGCGACATGATGTCAACCGGTTTAAGTGAAGGATCTAACACCACACCACCGGCTTCCTGGACGATCAGCATGGGCGCCGCTATATCCCAACAATGACAGCCGAAATTATAGTATGCATCGGCAAGTCCACGGGCTATCATGCACATACTGGCGGCTGCTGAACCCAGACTTCGCATTCTGAGTGGCATTTACTGAATCTATATAGAAGAATTCCCATTCCTTCAACTACTTACGCATGCGCTATTTGCGCGACTCTGGAGATGTTCTCCAAAGCCTCTGGCAGTTGGTCCATATTGGTGTCCAGATCGTGTAGGACCAGCGCTTCGGCCAGAGTTGAATGTTTGGTCACATGGATCCTCTCGGCATTCATATATGTCCCTAGACCGCGTCGTGAGGCAAAGCACTGATCGATCAGGGGGTTCCACATAATGCCAAACTCGGGCTGCTTGTTCACAAAGAATGCCACCGTTAAACCCACATAGGGGAAACCGTGCACAAAATTTCTGGTACCATCTATAGAATCAATGAACCAAGTGGGTTCATCTGTCATCTTTGGTCCTTTCCAATGATGTCGGTTCTGCTTCGCCTCGGCTATAATTCTGCATCGAACAAAGTTAAAGATAAAATCTACACTTGAAATCTTCAACATTATTCAAGATGCGTCTCACTATTCTTAAATTATATTTATCGTTTATTGTGAAATTGTTGGGAAGGTTATCTGTTTCTAGTAAAAAGACTGGGAAAACTTGGGCAAATATAGCGAAAGGGTTTGGTGTCATCGTGCTATTAATTGGAAAGGGCATTTAGATCATAAATCCTTTTCTTTTTTGCAAAAACTGCTAAGACTATTCTAAATTGTTGTGGGAAGTCCTGTCGCCATCTTTGCCAACTTACTTATGATTCGGATATTCAGCCTTGATTGAACACATCAGCATCTTCTCTATTTCAGTATCCCATTTAGTCAGCAGATCCCGTGTGGTCTTTACGCTTTTGAACGGCTGTTCAAGTTTTATGGCTGCCATTACATTATCCGTGGCCTTGCGTATAGCCTCGTAGGCCACTTCGAAGCATTTGTCCATATCGAATTTGTCCTTTTTGTCATTCTTCTTATCACCACCATATGATTGGCTGGGACAGTTTTTGGACATGCTGCGACCAAAGTTAGCAACAAAATTTTTGCACAATTGTGTGGCAATCATTTTGAAGGACCTTCAAATTATAATTTAGCAAACTTCAGTAATTAAATGAAAACAATTGAAGCATAAATCATAGTACAAAACTATTTTTCTAACGACGATATAGGCATGACTTGGCGATACCCTCTAATTATTTAATTTTTTTTTTTGGATTCAAAAAATTAATTTTTTGTTGAGCAAGTTTAACATCGTACCATCGTTTTTTTTTTTACAACTATAATGAGTTGAAACACGTCTAGTTCTTTAAATAAAAATAATTTCTAGAGCACCTAAAAGTAAACGGTTACTTACTTGATCGTTTCAAAAGAAGGCAACTTCTGATGAGGTTAAGTCCTAGATTGGCTATAAACGATATATCTGCTAGATCTTTTAGATATATTAAGGTGGTTTTTGTTTAAGATATGATTTCGGAGATTATTGTTAAAACAAAATCCACTCAACGACAGCCTTGAAAATTTATTTTTCTTCTTTTAAATAGCTCGCCGATTTATCGTTTTCTTTATATTTGTCAACATTAGGGAAAAGTATTTTGACAACGAAATTACCATTCGATTATTAAATTGGCATAATTGTTGTTAGGCTAGAAAAAATTAACAAAATTAAATGGTTTAACATTTTATTATTAAGAAAAAAAATTTCGTTCATTAATACTTTAATTTTTTTGCATCCTGCTGGCTACCAAATTGACCAAAGTTTGGATGCAAACCAACGGAAAAATCTCGCAGAGTGCTCCTACCTCAGAAATTGAATTGAACTTCATTTTAAATATTTGTACTTATAATTAAGTATTTATAAGTTATTATCAGCAAAGGATGGGTAAATGATTTAGCGGATTATTCCTTGTAATTTGTATGATAATCAAATATATTCTTCAGTGTATTGTGCTAAAAAGTCCACATTTCCAAATGACAAATGCAATCAAAGAGTGGCTAGAAAGCTAGGTGGGTAATAAATTAATAAATTAATATGTACATAGTAAGTAGTTCATATGACTTGATTTCTTCAAGAATACAAAGCCGTTCCTTGTAGTTTTTGTATGATTAATACAATAAAATTAAACTGGCTTGATTCTTAAATCATTTCGCAACACAAAAACATAAAGAAGACAATCTAAGCTAAGTATTTAAATTAGCCAATAGTGATTAGCTGCTCTGCAAAGCTTACCTACAAGTCAGAAATGGTCGTTCTGCCTTCTATTTAAATTCGATTTAGTTTAAACAAAATCAATTCTAATTGTTTTCATTGTTCTCTAGGTACTACTAAGTAATTGTAATAAGCATTCGTTTGAATTACATAAATAAATAATTACCATTCCGCTCTTTCTAATGTTAGTTGATCTTCGGGACGCTGTTAGATTTTATTAAAATTAAATGTTGTCCTTTGAAAAAGTTAATGAAACCCTAGTTTAAAGCAAAATACATGGTTAGTTTGACAAAGTATACACACTTAGTATCTTGAAATCCGTTTAGAGTAAGCTTTAAGTTCTTCTTTTAGTTCACTATAAGTTGTAACATTTTCCATTTAAAGACCCAAGTGGGCAACAATCAACTTAAAGACAAGTCTTCATATAATTCATTGAGTAGTCATTGGAGCATTATTGAAAACAATTAGTTGTGGTTCTTTCCTAAATATGATCATACACTTGGATGTGTTCCCTAAATTGGGTTAACACTTGTACAACGCTTGCCAACAAATTGTTAGTGGACTTGTACAGCACTTAGGCTCTTGCCAACTGCCGCCTCTTTCAGTTTTCATTTTCTTGTTGGCTGTCTGTTTTCGTTACAATTTCCAAGGCGGCAACCATGAAGAATGCGGGCTGTGATTTTCCATCAGTGTTGTGTGTGTGTGTGTGTTTTATAGCTGCTGTTGAATTTTATTCTAGAATTGTTTTTTCTTTTGCGCCAAAACTTTTGTTTACATGCCAAATAGACACACAACACCCACCAAGTTTTCTGTTGGCCAAAACTCAGTCGTTGCCAAAATCTGCCAAATCTCCGAACAACTAAGCTGCTGTTTAGTTATTGTACAAATGTACACCACACCATGCTACACATCCCTCCCCTTCCCTCCCCTCCTCTACCCATTCTCCCTCTCCAAGTTGACAGAATTCGGAGCCCTTTCTTTGCCTTTTACTGTTTGTCTAAAGTTTTGTTGCACAAAGTTTTTGTTATGCCGCCATCGCCATCGCCAACGTCGATGTAGACGACATTCTCGTTGTCGTAGCCGCCGCTGCCGCCGCCCGGTGGTGCTGTTGATTTTTTTCACAGTTGAATTCACAAAATTTGTCACGTTTGTTATTTTTCCCGACGAGTTGAGTTCGTATTTACTCAACTGATTTTGATAACATTCGTGTACATGCAATGATTTTGGAATTAATTGACGTTTGTCTGTCGTCGCTCAGCTCAGCTCAGCTTTTTCCAATCGCAGCTTAAACTGAAGACCACGCCTTGCCGCCCCTCTGCCTGGCCGCCTTACCGCCTTGCCGTCTTCAACGCCTACTCTCGGTGCGCGGCATTCGCGTAAATTCCCTTTTGAGCACTTTGTCCTTTATAAAGTCTAATCCGCATTTATTTTATGCGCAGCTACAAATCGTCGCTTTAATAGTGTCACCATGAATTATTGGAGCAAACTGATGTTGGAGCTGGGCAGCCGACCAGCCGACCAGCAGACCAGCTGCCATACACTTTAGTATACAAGCCTTTGGCTCAACAACAACAACACCACCAACAACAGCAACCACAATAACGGCAACAACAAAAAATAAATGCGTGCATTAGTTAATGTCCAGCGATGCTGGGCAACCGTTTGGCGCGCGCAGCGGGATGCAGTTTATAAGCGAACCGAATCGTAGCCCGGCGGTCGCTAAAGCCAATTCAAAAAGGCGGCCCAAATACTCCAAGTGGCCCAAACGGTGGCCGGCCGAAGTACGCGCGCACGGCCATTGCTCGCGTATTACATTTCGCGCTCGATAAATCTCGTTGGCCGACCAACTTCAACTCCGCTGCCTGCCTCCTGGCACATATTTCATATCAACGCAGATAGCTTCAGGCACAGTGGGTCAAAGTATTAGAGAAAACGAACGAATTTGCAAAAGTGGTGTAACAAATAATGCAAAAATTCGTGCCCCTATGTAGATTTGTTTATTTTCCCATTAATGGCATGTGGACTACTATATAATTAAAGATGAACAAACATTAAGTATAGTACTTAAGAACAGTAGAAAGGAGAAGGATATGAGATATACGGGTATGATAGGGGTTGCCAGAAATTTGAAACTGGAAGCGCAGAATGTGTTTTTTGTTTGTTCAAGTTCTGTTATTTTCGAATAAATGCCCTGACATGCTCCTCTAGATCTAATTCAGCTGCCGTTAATGCCTGGTCCTGTGACTTATTAACTGGGTTATCATATAGACTTTAAAAGAAAATTGAAGTCTTTTAAACTACAATATAATCTTTCAGAGGAATACGCATAATAAACATATATCCTTTAGTGTCTTATGACTGATAAATTATGTACACGCAACCATCGGTGGGTAACATAGAAACACTTATCCTAAATTTAAAACATGACGATACATTTTGCTTGATTTCAAATACATAACATAACATATGACAACTAAAATCACAAATAATTAAGAGGATTCAGTTGTAAGAATATATATTAATGTTAAACAGACGAGAACAATTACGGATTTTAGATAAACTGTTCATCTTTCTACAATATAGATGATGCGAAATTCTTAAACTTTGTACTATATTCTATTCTGATATTATCTGCCCTCCCATTTTGAAAATGAAATACTTGTATTTAACCGAATTGATGTTTCTTTTTTTTTTGTTCTTTTGTTCATTTTCTAAATGATTCGGTGAACTCATTTAGTTTTTCTTGATTTTAAGTCATGACTTTGCTTTTGCAATTGTTGTTACCTGTATGGGTGTATTTCGGTTTGGAACTTTAAATGCAGATGATTGCTTTTCGACCCACTGTGCGCGGGAACGCCACGCGGTTGCGCATCATAAAGCAAATTTCATTTTGAATTATTTTCGCAGTCCTCGACTGAGGCGTATTGTGTGTAAGCTACGCGCTCTGTGCGGCAAAAGGTGTTAATGATTATGATCTTCATCATCATCATCATCAGGAGCAACGGCAGCAACGACAGCGGCAGCATCATCATTATTTGCTGACTAAAGTCGATGTTGGAGCTGCAGACGTGGAGTCGTTGTGCCATTGATGGCGTTGAACGCACATGTTCTTAAGTAAAATTTAGGAGCTTTGGCACTGTTGTTGCCTGTCGTACTCAGCTGCGCACTTTAAGTTGATTTGCTGTGGCGACCGCATGCTCGCATGGCATAAATTCATCTGAAGGAACACAATAATACAACAACAAATGCAACTTTCAATGGCATGCCGGTGCTATAACTTAGGGATTTCAATGATCAACGTCAGGAACGTTGAGTGTCAGCAAGTCTGCTCCGACAGAGGGAGGCAATTGTAATAATTTATGAAATTAAACCATGAAAATATTTACTCTCGAACTAAATTTAGAAGTGGGGCCAATGGTCAGCAAGCATGGGGCAAGGCACGCGCTATAAGAAGGTAAAAGCTCATTAAAATACAAAAATAAAGTAAAAAAATGTAAACTAAAGCACAAGGCGGACACAAACCTCTGACTTGTTGTTGTAGCTGTTGTTGTGTGGCATGTTGGTGTTGGCAACCACCCGAAAGTGGCTAATAAAGCAAATCTTGTTGACAACATTCAAAGCAGCAGCAGGAGCAGCGGTGGCGACAGCAACAGCAACATCAACAGAAACAGAAACAACGACAACGAACGACCTGCAAAGGCAATGCTGACAGTTTTTGGTAGGCTCAACATGGAAATTTCGCCAATTAACACCTTTTAGCATGTTGAGACGGCAGCTGCAACAACAACAAAAACAACTGCAGCAACCAAC